GTGACAGAGCGTGTCTCTGCCTGGAGGTACGGGCCAGTCTTTAGTGCCTCTTTCCCAGCAGCCCTGACTTTGCAGATGAGCTCGAGCAGCAAAATTCAGAGCCAGATTTCGAAGGCTCTAAAGACCCGGGGACAGGCTGTGGTCCCTGCTCCCTACGCTGGCAATATACCAGAGGCCTAAAGGCACCGCAGAGGGGCCAAGGGAGGGGCTGTCTGCCATAAGCTGCCTCAGGTTGCCCCGCTCCCACAGCCAGCCCTGCGTACGGGGCCTGCTGGGACCTGGCCCCAGCGCATGGTGCGATAGGGATTCTGGACTACCTGGCAGCCCGTAGGCAGCCTGGGATGGGCAGCACAGAATCAGCACCGTGGACGCGGGGTTCGAGTTTGGCCCTGTTCTAAAGGGTCCATGTGGCTGTAGGATCCAGAGCCCAGGGTTTTCAGTCGTGAGCCGGCATCCTGAATCCCACTTGGGCGCGTAATGCCGATCTCCTTTACATCAAAGCATCCAGGGGCGAACTCACTCTTGATTAAAACCCCTCTATGCTGTGCCAAAGATGCGCGTGACCCACTCTCACTAAACCCAGCCACATCGTTCGGATTTAGGGCCCTTTTTGCCTAATTTTGCTCATTATTATTAGAAGTAACAGCATGGGAGCACCTGGAAATCCAACTGAGATCAGGGCTGTGCTGCGCTAGGGGCCGGACATGCACCTAATATGAGACCGTCCCTGCCCTGCAGAGCTTACCATTGAAATAGACACGACGTGGGACCAGTAAAGTATTATTAGCCCCATTTTACAGATGAGGAACTGACACAGAGGACCCAGTTCGCATTGACACTAAGCCCCTTCATCCCACTCTGGCAGCGGATGTTGCGCCAACATTTACGGTGCCTTTATGATGCCGGAGTGGTATATAGGGACCTTAGCATAAGTGAGAAGCAGACCCTAAATGTCTTGCCCAAGGTCATAGACAGAGTCCGTGACACAGGTAGGAATTGAACGTAGCTCTCCTAAGTCTCGGCCAATTGCTTGGGCCACACGGCTACCATTCTCCTCCACCAGACTAAGCAAAGTTTGACTCCGATTTTAATTCTATTGGGTTTATGTCTCCCCTGAGTCACAACTATAAAAAGGGGGAGAGGCGGGCGAGAGAAAATGATCCCCTACGGCAGAGGCAGGAACCAAACCCAGACCTCCCGCGGCCCAGTCTAGCAGTTTAACCACAGGCCCCTCCTGCCACACCAAATTTACTAACCTGAAAATCGACATCTAAAAGACTTGGTAGTGTTTGAAACTGCACATCAGGCCTGACTTTAGCTGTCTGAGGGGATCGTTACTGCCAGTAATAACACCTAGCTCTTTTAATCAATAGAGCTCACGGCACTTTACAAAGGAGAGCAGTATCAGTATCCCCATTTTACAGGTGGGGAAACTGAGGCACAAAGCGGGGCAGTGACATGCCTGCAGTCACCCAGCAGGCCGGTGGTAATGCTGGCAACGGAACCCAGGTTTTCTGAGTCCCAGTCCAGAGCTCTAGGCAAGCCTGCATCCAAAAAGGGGGAGGGCCACATTCTCACTCACCGACTGGGCTTGGGCAAGCTCCGTTGCTGTTGTTCAAGTCTCCCCCAAGCATCGCCCCTGGAAAGCAACGAGAGACACGGTGACAAAGTTAGTTCAGAACTCGGCGCACTGAGCAGCAGTTGACTATTTGCACGTGGGGGACGGGGGGAAATCAACAGTGTTACATTCCCATCGAGAAAATCCAGGGTAAAATGTACAGCACTTCCAGGCGTGGAAACAATATCTACACAGATACATTCCCTTTGGGGATGCGGCACGCAGCACAGACGCTCATTCCAAAAAGACTAGGCTTGGAAAACAGCGTGGCTCTGCTGTGCCGAGCCTTCCTGGGGGGACACGCTCTGCAGAAGGGAACCCGCCCCCAGCTCCGGGATTGGAAAGAGGATCGATCCTGTAACATTTGCACCGAATGGAAACCATTCCCAAGATGGCCGGAGAAGCTGTTCCCAGGGAACGTTTGCTATTCCCAGGGAATCAAGCCCTTTATCCCCTTTGCAAACAGACTTTGAGTTTTGCTAATTTATTTGCTATTTTGAATTGTTCGACCACATCTCGAAACTGTTATTTCTTCCAGCAATCCACCACTCCCTCTCTCTCACTATAACTGCCTAGATAGCTGGGAAAGGAACCCAGGAGTCCAGATTTCCATGCCACTGCTCTAACCACTAGCCCACACACCCCTCCCAAAATCAGGAGCTAGAATCCCAGCATCCTAATTCTCAGTCCCTTGCTCTAATCACTAGACCACACTTCCTTCACGGAGGGGGAAAGAGAACCCAGGAGTCCTGATTCCCAGTCCTCTGCTCTAACCACTATACCGCAATCCTCTCTCGGAGCTAAGAATAGAACTCAGGCGCTCATATCCTCAGATGAGTATCTGCGCTAGGATTTTTTGACCCAGGAATTCCCAGTGGTAGATAATTAGGGCCAGATTTTCATTTACCTTAAGGCCCCTTTACCCAGCGCTGGCAATGTAAAGGGGCTTTCCAGGGGGTGTACATTACAGTTCCACTCACTTTAACGCCAGCCTTCGCGTAACTGACCTCAGATTCCTGATGTTCCAGGACAGAGACACACACAGTACACAGGATTCGGCATCCCCGTTTCAGAGACGCCTTGGAGCTGCGGGCAATAGCCTTGACCTCACACAAGGCGACCACACGCTCCGCTCCATTAGCGCCGCTTTTGATTTAGAAAAGACAGTGGGGCTCGCTGTTCTCCTCTAACGTGCGTCGGAAAACGCACTTCCCACCCTGCAAGCACGCAGCGCCTACGAAACTGGATTTCTGCGACGCACAGACGGGAAGGCTGACGGCAGCTGCCTCAGAGGAACCTCTGAACCGATGGGGAAGGAATGCTCTCCTCTCAAAACAAATGGTTCGACCCGAATCGATTTTCCCACCCCCCCCCCCACATTTTTCGGAATTGTCAGCCAACTGAAAACCCTGTTCTTTGCCCAGCTCTAGGGGTGATACAGGAATTGCGTCTGCCATTTGCATCGCATGGGATCTTTGCTGAGCATCCAGGACCGTTTCAAATATTATTATTATTTATTGCTTGTACGGCAGTAACGCTTACGAGCCTGAGACACGGACCAGACCCTACCGTGCTAGGTGCTGTACAGACAACAGAAAGAAGGAGTGAGGGGTGGGAGAAATGAAGACACTGGTGCCCTCTCTTGGCTATTCTCGCACTAGGCCAAACACTCACCCGCGCTAGCTGGCCTCTGCGGCAAACCCGGCGACACGGTGTTTCTCTGCAGGGCCGGCTGCTGTGGTGAGAGGAGTCTTGGATCCGTCAACGAAGAGGTCACCAGCGACTGGGTCACCAAGGAGCCCCCGGGGTTGCTGAACTGTAACGTGTTTTGATTGGTCACCGGAACCGTCACTGGCATGGCGAAGTTCGGAGCGGGCACTGCAGACTGAACAGAGAGGCAGATGAAAGCGGGGACCGGCGCCGAGGGAGTCACCCAAAGGCACTTCGCTCCGCCAAGGTTCACGGCGCGACCAACGGGCCAGGTCCTCGGCCCGGAATGCAGCGACACTGATTTACACCAGCTACGGATCTGGTCCAAATTTGCACCCAGTTCATTATTGCCCTGCAATTTGTGTGGTCGTTTATAACAGTGCAAAGTGGGTGAAAGCTAGCACCATTCTCATTTGCTAGCGTTCTGCAGCCACTTTACACGGGTGAAAATGGTGGCGGGCAGTGTGGAATCTCGCCCCAGGCACAAAGGGGCATGGATCCCCTCTAGGAAGACGGAGAAAGAAGGGCAAACGGATGTCCATCTGGGCACATCGAAGCTAAAAAGCATCTGCTGCCGGGGGGGAAGAGGGGTGTTGACTAAACACCTGCATTTATTTACCTCCAGAGCTCAGCAAAGTGGTTTTAAAACAGCTCACAGAGAGTTGGAAATGTCTCAAAGCGGCTCCCTTGGAATGCCAGAGAGGGGAACAGTGCAGTGGTCTTAGCATGAGACGCTCTGAACCCACAGGAGACAAGGGCCAGCAGCTGCCCTTCAACCTCCGAGGGAGATAAACGGAGCCCCGTAGAGTTTTAATAGACCAGGTCCTCCGCTGGTGTGAGTGGCCAGGGCTCTTTTGAAGTCAGTGGAGCTACACTACGGATCCCAGGGCCCTACTCGCAGCTACTATCTGTATTCCTGTATCACCCAGAGGCTCCAATCGGGATTGTGCGAGGCTCTGGACGGACACACAGACCCAGCCCTGAAGAGCTTGCTCTTCCCTCCATATTAGTATGAAGTTTGATAGCGCCTGTGCTCATTCTCGGGGGAGCATGGTCTTGGGGTTACAGTACTAACCTACCCTCGGACTCTGGGGCATTCACACCTCTGCCACAGACCCTATGAAAGACCTTAGGCAAGTCACTTAATCCCTCTGTGTCTCAACTCCCCACCCCTTCAATGGGGATAATAATACTTCCTTTGGGCTGGTCTACACTGCCGCGCTAGTTCGGCGGCGGGGGATCGAAGTTCCGAGTTCGATTTATCGCGTCTGGTCTGGACGCGATAAATCGAACCAGGAAGTGATCCCCGTCGACTGCGGTACTCCAGCTCAACGAGAGGAGTACCGCGGAGTCGACGGGGGAGCCTGCCTGCCGCGTGTGGACCGCGTCTGAACCGCGGTAAGTTCGAAGTAAGGTATGTCGAATTCAGCTACGTTATTCACGTAGCTGAATTTGCGTACCTTACTTCGACTTGGGGGGTAAGTGTAGACCAAGCCTTAGTCTAATCAGGTCATAAACTCTACAAGGCAGTGACCATCTTTTGTACAATGGGGTCCTGCATGCAGCACAAAGGGCCCCAATTATTATTCATGCTCTGTACAGAGCTAGTGCCTCGGAGTCCCGGACCCGGCTCCCATGGCGCTAGGTGCTGTACAAACACAGAACAAAAAGACGGTCCCTGCTCCACACAGCTGACCTCAACCGGAGCCTCTAGGTGGCTACTGTAATAGAAAGTGAGAGATCGGAGCATTTCCAAGGTGCAGCTTTGCTCCAGAGAAGCAGCCCGTAGATGGCTCCTATCGATTCATGGAGCTGCTGGGGTGCCAGTCAATGGAAAGACCTGGGGCTCTGACCCTCACGCAGTGGAAACGCCTCTAATTCATGATCCTTGGCCCCTGGCTCGAGGGACAGATCCACCTCGCTCGGTTCCTGTTAAAGCCAGACTTTGCCCAGATGATCCGATCACTCTTTCTTATGTCCCTGATTCGCTCTTCATTAGCGAGAGCAGGCACTTGCTCAGCGGCTTTCCCAGGGCTTTGCTAAAACCCTCTTTTAATTTCATTGGCCTTGCGAAGCCAGGAAGCTTCCTGGCCTTTTGGTGTCGCCGAGCTGTCATTACAAAAGCGCTGCTGGGCAAATGCAGCTTTGTAGTATTGCAGGAGAGGAAGAACAAGCGTGAGAGAGGATGGCAGAGCCGCGCCTCTGTCCTCCCAGGGGCTCCTGGCTGGGAAAGCCGCCTCCCTACCTATCATCCCCCACCCCCTTCACAGATCTCCAGGGCATCCAGCCGTTTCAGGCAGCAAACAGGTGCTAAGGACCACTCCCTGCTTGTGGCTTCTGCTGCCGTAAGTCACTTTGACTTGAGCCTTAGGACTGTAAGCTCTGCAGGGCAAGAGACTTTATGAGCCGGATTCTCCTTGACACTAAGGCCCCTTCATATGGCTCTGGCATAGCTTTAGGGCCACTTTAAGGGCTCTCCCTCGCCCCCCACCCAGACAGCCAACGCGGCATAGAGGATACTCAAGGCTGGTCTACGCTACAAAGTTAGGCCGGCTTGACGACATTGCTCCAGGCTGTGAAAAATCTACAGCCGTAATTAAGCCGACCTAAGCCACAGTGTAGACACAGCTAGGGCCAGGTCTACACTGACAAGCTTACAGCTGTCCTGATACAGCTGTGCCGCGGTCAGAGCGCTTGTGTAGCCGCGTGATGCCACCGGGAGGCAGCTCTCCCGTGGACATGATGAAACCCAGTCAACGAGCGGCAGCATCTCCTGCCGACGTAGCGCTGTACGCAAGAGAGTTCACGCCGGCAAAACTGATGTCGCTCAGGAGGGGTGTTTTTTTCACATCCCTGAGAGACAAAAGTTTTGCCGATGTAAGTGCTAGTTGAGACATAGCCTAACTCGATGAAAGAACTCTTCTGTCAACCTCGCTACTGCCTCTTAGACCACGTCTCCACTACAAAACTACCTCGACCTAACTTCCGTCGGCATACGGCCCCCACAGTTATTAAATCGCTTGTGCGTGCGCACGCTTGGCTCCTTGCGTCGGCGGCGCACGTCCTCACCAAAGCGCTTGGGTCGATTGCATTGTCGGGGTGCGGCATTGTGGGACGGCTGCTGAAAGCCAGTAATAGTCCACAAAAGCAATGGAGCGTCTGCACTGACACTGCGTCGTCCTAATTACATCGACCGTGACGCGACGCCGTTCGGGGAGCTGGTGGTACGAAATCGGCGTAGAGAGGCGTTTACGTGGGCGGGAGCGAAATGTACATGAAGACACTTGCACAGCTAGGTTGACGCAGGGCAGCTTACGTCGACCTAACCCTGCCGCGTATGCCAGGCCTCAGAGAGATGGCTATAGTACAGCAACAGAAGAAATCCTTCCGTTGTTCTGTAGGAAGTGTCTACATGACATCGATGCAGCTACAGTGGCATTGCTAGTGTAGACACGCCCCTACTGTCAGTGAGAATCAGGCCCTTAAATGTTTGGCTGTGCACATCTGCAATGCAATATTGCATAATAAATAACAAGAAAGACAGAAAGAAACTAACTAACTTAGGGCATAGTTCTACCCCAGATGCACGTGTGAAGCCCGCTGACGTAAGTGAGAGTTACATGAATGGATTGGAGGACAGGATTCGGCCCTTAGCTCTTAACTATCACATTGCACCTCTGAACCACTAACCGACCAATCTTCCCCATGCTCTTGCCCAGGCGGGGAGAGAGTTGTGCACACGCAAATGATCCCTCAACCAGCAGCTCCCATTCTCCCAGAGGCCAGCAGCCGATTGCGGAGCACTGGGAGATGCAGTGTTATGGCAGGCAAAGGTTTGAAATGAACACAACAATCCAAAATCCGGTGGGGGATCGGGGAGGTTCATTAATCAGCCAAACGCCAATGACTTTTTTTTCTTTTTCTTGAAAGCCAGTTTCAAACGCACTCAGAATGCAGAACCCTGTTAAGGCCAGTTTCTCTGGACCAGGGCGTCATTAGCTTCCCCGGCAGATGAGTTGTGTTAGTTCTCATTATCACACAAAAAGCTGGTTAAAAAGAAAAGCATCTGCTCCAACAATCCACTATTCAATCCTGTGGCAAGAGAGGTGTAGTCAAGGAGGCAGACGCTGTGCTTTGGCTACTAATCAACCTGCTTCTGGGATGCTACGCACTGCAAGATTTTGGAAGCAGGGACTTTCCTTCTTTTATAAGTGTTCACAGCGCCTAGCATAATGGGGCCCTGATTCCAGGCTGCAGCCTGTAGTCGCTACTATAATGCAAATAATAAAAAAATTCATAGGTTGATAGCGCCCTGTTTTCCCATTCACCTGCCCTTGTGTAACGATCTGCCCCAGGGCAAAGCGAGTGCTGAATGCTACACACTCATCTGGCAGCGTTTTACACTAAGGGCGTGTCTACAATGGAAAGTGAATGCAGATTCATGGAGGGTGTGACTTTAAAGTGCCACAGCTGTAACTGAATAACTCCACGTGTAGACGTTCTGAATCCGGAATAAGAGGGCTGTATTCTGTGGTTAGTTTAACCCACTTTCCGAGGGAGCTAAGCTAAACAGAAAGCAGGCACTCTTATTCCAGAACACAAGTGTGTCAACACATGGGAGTTATTTAGGAACCACTCCTTAAGTAGATAAGCCCTAAAACCCGTTTTACCCCACTTTGGCGGTGTAAAGCGAATGAGACTCACGTAAAGGGCCCTTTATGCTGCCAGAGGGGTGGCATGGGGAAAATGAGCATCCGGCCCACAATCTCTTACTGGCAGAGTCAGCCAAAAAAAAACCCACCTCTGGCTTTTGCAAGAGTGAAGTCTCAAGAAAAGAAAAAATGAACTCCCGTGGCCTTGTAAGCAGTAGCAGGAAGGAGTTGGGGTATTTTTTTTATCCTGCATCCAGCGCTTGGAAAGCCGCCTCCCTTTCTACTCCTGCAACGTTAGTTAATTACGGCTGCCTGAGTTGGAAGGCTAATCTCCCTGAAGATGGCTTGCCTGCCTCAAAAGTCTTTGCTCCCTTGAACTAACAACTAATTTGCAAGGCCCCTCTTCCCTCCCTCGACACAAATCCCTTTCATCGCTGTCCTGATGCCACCCCAGGGCCATCGTCTCAGGCTAAAACCACCCTGGATTTCTGCCACATCCACTAGCTGCGCCGGGAGCCTTATGGATTCGCCTGGATTGAAAGCAGAGTGGCCCCAAACTGGATCTGATCCCAAAGCAGGTGCAACTGTCATCACCTGACCCTCCCTTTCCCCGCTGTGGCTCATCCACCGAGGTTCTGAACTCAAGCAAAACTCCCACTGAAGTTCAGAGGAGTTCGCTGGAGTAAAAAGAACCTCAGGGTTTGACTCAGTATTAATAGCAATGGGACCGATTTTTAAGGTCCTCGGTCTTAACATTTCCAATGTGGGGGCTCAAAGTTAGACAGCGAAGCCCAATGTGTTTAGGCGCCTAACTCCCTTCAAAACCGATGGGCAGGGCCGGCTCCAGGCACCAGCTTAACAAGCAGGTGCTTGGGGCGGCCAAGGGAGAGGGGCGGCACCTGCGGCAATTCGGGGGCGGCAGGTCCCTCACTCCCTCTAGGAGCGAAGGACCTGCTGCCGAACTGCCGCCGCCGATCGCGGTGATCCCCCTCCCCCAAGCAAAAAGAGTCATACCCCTAAAACTTTTAAGTGCAGACCAGGCCTGAGAATTCTTCACGCCACTCTGACAGCGTAAAGGGGCCTTAAGGTGGGTAATTTATACCCATTTTAAGGCCAGAATGGTGCAACTGAGACTCAGGCCTTGTATAGGAGGGAACAACCATAATAGGTTGTGTTCTAGGCCAGAAGAGGAGATTAGGATGGGTACAGGGATGTTCTGCCAGCTCCATACCAGCTGGAGGGAGGCATTTCCACCCACTTTAACACCTCTTTATGCTGGCAGACCGACCGAAAGGGGCCTCGGCATCACCAAGGCCTGTTTCTAACCATTAGACCATGCTGCCTCCCAGACGTTCCCTAGCCCTGGGTTTGCTACGCCCGATGGGAGCAAACGAACAAGGCAGAGCAAGGCTCCGTAAGCAAAGCCATGCAAAGTCGTCACCCCCGCCGCTCGGCATTCTACGTTGCTAGGGGTCCGGGGCAGGCTGTGCAGGCCACCGGCTACTCACTGCGAGCCTGTAACTCTGCATCATTTTATCAAACTCCTCATCAATCTTTTTATATTTCTCCTCCGTCTGCGGGGTCAGCGCAAACACCTCGTCCCCTTCCGGGCTCTCGCATCCCCTGTGCTTCTTGTTCAGCGCCTGTTACGTTGAGAGGGCGGGGGGAGGTGGCGGGGACGGGGGTAGGATTGGGAAGAAATCGAACAAAAGAAAAAAAGAAAAACATAATGAAGGATTTCTGGCCAGAGGGGCGCAGTACTTACACCGTATCGTTTGAAGAGGATATCCAGATCCTCGCTGGCTTTGCGGTATTTATCCTCCATCAGGGGGCTCTGGTCAATGGAGTCGTCTCCGTCCGGTTCCGGGCTGTCGCAACCGTTAAAACCTTTCTTTCTTAATGTCTGAAAACACAACCGGGACAGGTTGAGATCTGGAGCAGGAGGGGTACGTTGGAGAAAGGGAGAGCTGGCGGGGTGTTGGATGCAGGTGTGTGATGGATGGAGACGGCGGGAGCTTGTTTAAAACGTCGTCGCTAGCTTCCCAGTAGAGCTGGTTTGGAAATGGGGTGGGGGGGAGGCAATGTGGCTGAAATATGGGGGAAATTTACTCGAAATGTGGGGAACATATCAATATTTCAAAAACCAACTGAGTGAAAACATCCACAAAATGTAAAGGGGTCAAAAAAGGACTCCCAAATTTAAAATATTTGAAGAAAATGAATAATTTCAAAAACAATCTTCAAAACATTAAAAAACTGGGCGGGGGGGAAGCGTTAAAATATCTATTTCTATTTCAAAAAAATCACCAAAAATTCAACCAGCTCTGCTTCCCAGTTACAAAGAAAAAGCCTACAAGGCCGGATCCTCATTTACCCTGGGACTCCTCCACATTGCTTTAGTGGGATGGAGCTGTGGTGACACCGCTGGGCCTATTATGATAATTGTAGCTGTTCTGGCTTCATCCTTATGAGCTCAAAGCTCGGCTTCTCCACAGACTCGTTATGTGATCATGGGCAAATCCCAGAGGCCTGGGTTCTTCTTTCAAGTGGGTGTATATGTAATGAATTCCCATTTTAAGGGCCCTTTACGCTGCCGAAGTGGTGTAAATGACAATCAGGCTGGTAGTATTTAATAGACAATGGGTCTTTGGAACCTTCCGATAGAACTGAATAGAGTTTTATAAACTAATAGAAACGTACGTTAACCCATGGAACTCACAGCCACAAGAGACCATTGAGATTAGCAGGAGTCAGAAAGATTCAATTATGGGCCTTACTCTCATTTGTAATAAGGATCTAGCCCATAGGATCTGGTTCGGATTGTGCCTCTATTTTGGAAGAGAATATGACCCTATGACAGTGCAAGTGGGTGGAACGCCATTGACTTCAAAGGCTCTATTTACATCAGGAATGTGTTTGGCCCTGTGCCAGCTCAGACACATAACCTATTCTCCCACCATTATAATGATTGGGGGGGGGGCAAGGAGGGGGGAACCCTAATGATATTTACTCTCCTATTAAAATATTTCCTCTCCTATTAAAAGACAAAAATATTACTTGCCCGGAGCAAAATGGGTGGGTGGAATTCTGCAAGATGGTTTTAAACAGATGTAAGGGGTTTGGAGCAATGTACAATGGAACGTGCCAAGACCAACACGGCAGAACTGTATTAAAGAAGTAGGTTGTGTCTGCACCAATAAATGATGTATACTTTGTATGGCAATGACCTTCTTTAACTTAAAAAATAAACAAGCACACAGTTTTCATTGGCCAGCTGCCAAATTCACCTTTGGCATAAGCGGAGTTACAGCTCGGTTGAAATCAGGGGGTCGGGTTCTGATTTCACTTACAGTGGTGTAAATCCGAAGCAACACAACTGCAGGGAAGTGGAGTCACTCTGGAGTCACACTGAGGTGAGATCAGAATCTGTCCCAGAATGCTTAGCAGCTCTCTAATTCCGTTGCTCTGGCTTTGTGATGGTCTTACCTGTTATTTATCAAATGCCCCCAAATTGCTGGGCACCTCACAAAACAAGGAAAGACCTGATTCTGTGCCAACCCAGCCTTTGGGGCCTTCAGAATCTGGACCCAAATGACCCAGTTAGAGCCGATCTCAAAGAAGAACGTTGCACCCAGAGGAAATGCCGATATGAGCTAACCTGACCGGGCTCAGATCTTTGCAGTGTTTGAAATCTGGAGCTGAATTTTGTGGCTCAGGCACTTTGGGTTGATTCTCATTTACCCGAAAGCTCTTTTTACACTACTCTGCTCATGTAAAGGGGCCTGAAAATGGGACGTATTGCCACGCAGGAGCAGGTGCAGGCCTGGGTTACACTTAAAAGTGTTATCAATAAAACGATTTCAGTTAAGAGGGTGATTTATTTTACTCGAATAGACACAAGTAAAGGCCCTATTGTGAACGGTTCTACTGCTGTAAAGGTGATTTAGATCTGGTCTACATTTCAAATTTAGGTCGACATAGCTGCGCTGCTCAGGGCACCCAACCACCATAGCTGTGCCAATCTAGTTCCCAGTGTAGATGCAGCTAGGTCAAAGGAAGAGAGGTTCTATCAACCCTTTCCATCGGTGTAGCCTGTGTCTACACTATGGAGCTGTAGCTTTGCCATTATAGTCCCTATCGTGTAGACCAGTGGTTCTCAAACTAGGGCTGCTGCTTCTTCAGGGAAAGCCCCTGGCGG